ACAACTTACTTTGATTTAAGTAGTACTTTATTTTTTTTTTTAATTTTATAATAGACAAACAAACCAACAGACAACTACGTCTTGCAACATTACCTTCATTGTGTGAGAAAAAGTGGACTTCTTTAAATTCAGGGTTATGAAACTTATTTTTATTTTTATAACATGAGATGTGTCAGGCTTAATCTATCTTGAGCACTAGAGTCTTACTGCAAAAAGACTCTGCTTTCTTCAGCCCACGTAATTTTCACTTCAAGCCAACTATTCCTATAGTGGAGTTAGTTCCTACTTTCCCAACCAGCATTTAAATACTCAGTCTGAAGCAAGAGACTGTCCTATTTTCACAGGCATTTCTTATTTCTGGGGTCTTACTTTTGTTATTAGACTTTCTCTTTCTTGCTTCTTTGGTTTCTGAATGTCATAGATTGTTTGATCGTTCCCAAGAATGTTTGTTCATGACCTCCAGAAAGCAGATACCAAGATAGATGAAATTTAGAGGAGAGATTTATTGAGGAGAATGCCTGGGATAAGGAGGGAGCAGGAATAGGCAGAAAAAGCCTCAGACCACAATGTAGCATGACACCTGTGGAAGGAGAAGGGGAAGGAAAAATAATTGGATAGGAAGAGCTTCAGACCATGGTGTAGCTATGGGCAAGTCTCAGCCAGCCCAACAGGGAAACTCAGACACAAGGACTCCCACACTGGGCAGAAATAGCCAGGTCCCATACCTCATATGCTCAGCTGTTAGCTAGGAGCTTTCCATGGGCAGAGTGGCCTTGACCTAAATGCTGCATCCGATTTGAAGACTCTATGGCTGGTGGTGTCAGCTAAGTGCTGTCCTTAGAGAAGTTTCATGGCTGCCACAATTCACCCCTTATGCTCAGCAGATGCTCTTCTGCAGGTTTGGGGACCAGCTCTTTCATGGATCCTGTTGGATGCTTCATGAGGGAAAACTTACGAGGGGACAGTTGGTGTGAGAAACTATAGCTCCTTTCACTGCAGTTCATATGGGGGTTGCAATTGATATGCAATATCTCCTTCCTCCCACACTTATTCTAAATTCACCTCACTCTCACTCTCAACTAACACCTCTGCTGGTCTCAGTGGCTTGCCCGGTGGTGAGACTAATTTAACGAGAGGTTGGAACATCTGGTCAACAAAACCTTCTCGGGCCAGGTTGCTGCAGGTGACCTTTCAAACTCACAGTTGGGCAAGGGAGTAACCAGAGGGGTCCCATACGTTTTTCTCTCTGAACCATCTTGTAACAGCAGCTCCGCTTCCTCCTATTGATCAGGGTCCATGATCTCTTCCACAATGGAGACCTGTCTTCTTGTCTGCTGGCCACTATACAAAGGGAGCTCAAATTACTTAGGAGGCAGCTATAGCCTTGTTGTTCAATGGGACCTTTACTGTATCTTTGAGAAAGAGTATGCCCGCTTTGGAGACCAAGACTTCTAACTAGGTAGAGACCAGAATTATGGGGGCAAGAAGCACAAAACCCCTCAATGTGTCACTAGTTGTCAGCTACCTTCATTCCTAATGTCAAGTTCCCTCTTGAAGGGAGATCTCAGAGGCATATGCTACAAGTGCTGTACCTGTATTTGGTCCCCTACCTGGAAGAGGATTATGCATCCCCACATATTGTCATGTAACTTGCTGTGATTTCCTGTTGGAAGAGAATCTATCCCCACTCCATTGACATCAAACTTGGCCATAAGACTGGTTTTAGCCAATGGAATGTGAGTTCAACATTACATGCCCCATCTGAGCAGAAGCTTTAAGAGACACTGTGTGGTTCCATGAGTGCTTTTCTCTCTCTGCCATGAGAACATATCTCAGTAGGGGCTAGATCCGAGAATGAAAAAGGAATGTGGAATACAGCCACAGCTGATGCACAGCTGACCCAAAGAATACAAGCAAGAAGTAAACCTGTGTTGTTAAAAATAACTAAGAATAGGGGATTATTTGTTACTTCAGGGTAACCTAACAAGATCTGACTAATACATTGTACCTTGTCTTATCTGTGATATTTTGCCTGGTCTCTGGTAAGTCTCCTTTGTCCCACTTTCTGATAGCTCTGTTTCCCTGGCTGTTTCTAACTAACAGATGTCTGCTCATTAATGTCTCTAACTATTGTTCTTAATGTTTCTGGGGGTTTCTGGATTGACTACATCAGAAACATCTGGATATAGTTTTTTAAGAAACTCATTGGTTACAGAGTATGGCTAACTGGCTACAGAGATCCTGATTCAACAAATATGATTAGGTATTTGTCCTTAGTATGGGCCTAGTAATTTTTAAAAACTCCACATGGTGCTATCCTAAATTCAGGAATTAGTTGTATGCTATGTTTCATAATATTCAATTTCCTTTAGATTAATCATCTTTACTGGTCTCTTGAACCTAGGTGTACCATAACCTTTATTGCTTCCCCTCAGCCTTGGATAATGGCCCTTCTATCCAACTTACCATAGCCCCACATCTTCATCCTGCATTCACAGCCTGGTCAAATTGAATTTGTACCTGAGACCTGCCATTGTTTAAAGCATACACTGAATTTCTCTTTGGAAAAAGTGTGTGTGTGTGTGTGTGTGTGTGTGTGTGTGTGTGTGTGTGTGTGTGTCTATATTACATATATGAACAAAAGGATACAGAGTTACAGGAAATTGTTTTATGCTGAAAAAATGTAATTTTGAAGCAGCAGAGCTAACTATCTGTCTGGGAAAATGTGTAGGCCTTATTTAGGTCAAAAGTAACAGAGAAATTGCTGATACAATTATTCCTCATAACTCTCATAAATGCCTATGTGCATTAATACATGCATAAATCCCCTCACGTGGATATGTTACTGGGAATGACTGTCTAAATAATCCTCAAAGCACCTTTTATTCAGTGATATGGCAGCAGAAACAAGGAAAAGACATGCAAAATGATTGAGGCAAATTTAGATGAGATCAAATATTTCATCTTCTATGAGAAAGATTGTCACAATCATCACAAATCAATGACAAATCTTCCCATTCCATCACACCCTGATCTCACCTCCACCACACCATTCTGCCTTAAATTCTTACTGATTTTTCACAAACCATTCCATCTGAGTTTATTCTAGTTTAATTCTTGGTTGATGTTCTTGAAGAAAGCGCAGAACGTGAAATGGGTGAAAACGCTACACGGATTTAGGATACTGACCACTACGATGTGAAAACTTCCACTTAGACATTTGCTTGATTTCATTCATGCTTCTAGATATCAACTGCTCTGGTTAGTGCACTGATATTTCTTCATTTTGCTTTGCAAAGGCGGTATATCTAGTACTTGAATATTGACTCATAATACTCAGGAAAAAAAAAAAATGAAATAAATATAAAAAAACAAGTTGTGGTCAGAATTAAATACCAGAATCAGAGTCACATATTCTTGTTGAATCCTTTCTGGCTCTATTCACAAGGGTCATATAATTGTCATAACTCCTTCAGCGAAGGGGGAAAACCAAATATTTACCATGAGTTTTCCCACTGGAATGTAAAGTGTATGACAAACATTAGAGTCATGAAAGATACAATAAAGAACCAGCTAAAATTAAGATTAAAAAAAGGCCCAAATAAATTTATATCTAGAAAGGTAGATTCAACAGGCTTCCAAACTTCATATACTCAAAGATACTTTTTTACTTCATACGTCTAAGAAAATCAACCAAATATTTCTAACAATTCTTCATTTTGTTTCCTTCATTGATGAATGAGCAAAAATGGGGAAAACTCTAGAAAAACCTCTCTTAAAAATTCATATTGACGTTCATTTCCTTTTTCTTCATAGGGTCACCATTACTTAATAGAATAGAAAGGTGCCCAACAGTCATTTCCTATATGATTAACTGAGCTTCAAGCTGGGAGAGTTTTCTTATATATTTTTAAATCTCTGTTCAGACTTTCCAATGTAAAACTTAAAAACCTTACATTTGGAAACTTTGCATACTTTGAATAGAACTAACTATCCTAGGATCGGATGAGATTTTAACTCTGGGTACATCTCTTTATTAGATGCTGCTATTTTATTCTGTGGGACTAATTTATTAGTAGAACTAAGTTACTAGTGTAACCAAAGGATTCTGGAAACCTGAGAGAGATTAACAATTATTCTGTTGATTTAAACAAGTATTTCCCCCTTTCTTCCTTCCTTCCTCCCTCCCTCCCTCCCTCCCTCTCTCCCTCCTTCCCTTCCTTCCTTTACCTCCTCTTCACTTCCTATCCCTCTCTCCCCCCTTGTACTGGTAACAGAACCCCTTTTGTTGTTGTTGTTGTTTTGTTTTTCGCTCTGTATTAACTAGGTAAAAGTAGAGATGATCTTGATGAAGTGGAAAAGAGTTTCAAATGCTGCCCCCTTGACCTCAGTCATGTGTCAAAAGTCTATGACATACACACACTACTATATATGAAGTAGATAACTAATAAGAACCTACTGTATAGCACAGGGAACTCTACTCAGTACTCTGTAATGGCTTATATGGGAAATGAATCTAAAAAAGCATGGATATATGTATTTGGATAACTGATTCACTTTCCTGTACACCTGAAACTAACACAACATTGTAGATCAACTATACTCCAATAAAAAATTTAAAAAAAAAAAGGCAGTCTACAAGTCATTGTCACAAGGAATTCTTGTTTCCTTTTTAAGCCACAGGCAAGATTTACCTGAAAGTAGAGAAAAGCAATTGAAGATGAAATGTGCTACGTGGTAGCTTTTTTTTTTTTTATTCCTTTAGAATACTATTTTGAGAGTATGTGGATACCAGGATACCAGAATTTCTGATTATGATTAAATTGTATTTGCTTTACTGCCATATTGAATGCAAAAGCATAGAATATTTTCATGTTATTGGAAACGTTTCTTCACCAGTGTCAAGTTAAAGTGTGAACTATCAACAGTTATAGATATGCTTGTGCCCATGATCTTGCACATCCTGCTCACTTGGCGCGGGTTTCGTCTTTCTTTTACAGCATAGGTGGAGAAGTAGGGCGAGGCCACGAAGGAACTTACTTGGGGAACCACGAAGGAACTTACGTGGGCAAACACTTCCGCATGGGATTCATGACGATGCCCGCTCCTCAGGACAGGCTGCCCCATCCTTGCTCCAGTGGCTTCTCTGTGAGGTCGCAGTCGCTGCACTCGGTCGGGGGCACAGACGATGACAGCAGCTGTAGCTCCCGGAGACAACCACCCCCCAAGCCCAAGAGGGATCCCAGCACCAAGCTGAGCACGTCGTCCGAGACGGTCAACAGCACGGCGGCCAGTAAGAGCGGGAAAGGCCCCGAGCGGAACGAAGGTAAAACCCGCCAGGCCCACTTCACTTAGAAAGAGACTTCAGGCCACGTGTCTGGGTCCGCATACTAACCAGCATCTGCCTTCCTCCCTGGGTCACATAGCCCTGTCTCCCTCCCCTTGAGTCTTAGAAAAGAGGAATCCAGGGGGGATGGCTATTTATCTGGGTGTTGTCAAATGACACCCAGAAAAATGTATTTAATTTATAGCATCGGAAAAGGAAAGCAATATATGAGTTTTCCAGCTCCCTTAAAGCTTTGAATCACTAGAAAATGATTTTGCCTAGCAATATGTCTCAAATTTATATTTTCTTGCTTTTATTAGTATTATCTGTATGATTATAGAAGTATAGTGATCATTAGGGAGCTGTGTAATGCAGGAAAATATAAAGAAGAAAAATTGTAATCATCTTTAGAAATGATCATTTTTTTAACATTTTGCTCTACTTCCTTTCAGCGAATATGAATTTATGCATGTTTGTGTGTACGTTTGTAGTGTACACACACGTGTGCACATATACATATTAAAGTCTCTACTTCAATCTCTATTCTATTTCTACCTATATTTATATGTTTCCTCAGCCATGAAATACATAAATCAAATATATCTTAGTCTCCTTGCTGGTCTATGATTATAAATTAGGTCAGGTTAACACCATATCTCACCAGCTCTTTAGCCTTGCTTGAATAAATAAGTTTCAGCTTTCCTGAGTTTTTCCTGAGAGTCCCTTGGTGGGAGAGTAGTTGCAAGTGTGTTTTGATACAGGCGCATTCAGATTTTTGTGTGTCAGTTGTGGAAAATGCTTCAGGGTGTCCAGTGCTGCCAGTGGCCAGCTTGAGAGCATGGCTCTATGAGGTCCCAAGGTCTTTCTCTTACCCTATTTGTCCCTGACATTCTCCCCAGTTGGCTCCCCTGAGCGCCCAGTGTTCCAAGTTTCCCAGTAGCTTGAAGCAGAGAGTGGAAACCAGGTGGTCCTTTCCTCAACTGGGTAGGTTTCTTTGTCACCTGGGCTCGCCAGTCCCTCACAAAAGCTCCCTCATCTTCTGGTCTAATCCTTCTACCGAAGTTCAAACCTAGTCCATGAGACGGGTGCCCGGGAAGCATGTACCATCTTTTCTAATAGCCTCATCTCTCCTTTCTCCCATATCGGTGTCCAAGTGCCTATTTAGCCAAGGGAAAAAAAAAAAAAGCTTCAGAGTATATTGAAGAATACAAATAAGTGCCTGGAGATGGAGCGAATCCATGCATTCTATAGGGAAAATCTCCACTTATGCTCAGCTTTTTCCTACTTCACATATATGTGAAAATACATCATGAGTGTGTGTTTGTGAGATTATATATGTGAATAGCGTGTATATGTATATTTACAAAATCGAAATCCTAGTGCATAGAGTTCTGTGTTTTATATTTTCAGTTATTTTCTTGTGACTATTTTCCATGGCATTCAGTTTGTTGGGAAACACCATTTTTAGGAGGGGCATATACATCATGATACTTTATTTAATCATTATCTCTTTGATGAAGTCTTAGGTTGGTTCCAGTTTGTTTTGCTATAATGAATATCACTGCAGTGAAGATGGTTGTGTCTGTGTGTCTGTTTGTTTGTGTAACTCTATTGTTCCTCTGATGTCTTGGAACAGATTAGAATTCTGAGCCTTTTTTCTCATGAGTCAGGGTCATCAGTATGTCCTTCAACTTGTAACACATTGATGTTTTAGAGACAGTTTAGGTGTTTCATTTACTTGTTAATAAACTAAAAGGCTCTAGAGATCTGCCTTCTGTAAATTTTAAATATTGTTCCTAAGTTTCCTCTGCTATTGATATTTGGTGCCTTTCATTTCTCTTTATATCCTGTGACCTTGTTTCCAAAAATCACCCCTTTCCTACTTTTACTGCCAGAAAACTGCATAATTATTTACATTAGATTGTTTTCAAAAGCAGGTTTTTGGAACAGTGGTCTCTGAATGATGAGGGCCTAGAATGATTCAAGAATAAAGAGGAATAAAAGACCCATTGGAAGGGGAGGGGAAAATGAAACAGACAAGGCAAGCAGACAGTAAGGAGTGTGTTATCAGGAGTGTAATACTCCTGGAAACATTCCTGGAAGCAGTGTAACGTATACACTTCCGAATAGCACCCCCCAGGAAGGGGACCTGGGGCATTCAAAGTAGACACATGTGGAAAATCATGATTGTCCCACAGAAGAAACGTTTGAGTGGTGATTCAATTGTCTTAAGATTAGAACTTATTACCATTCATCTGAGATGCTGTCGGTAGCTAATTCCTGAAGTAGAGAAGATCATAATTCTTTCAGATCCCTTCACCATCTAAAGATCTAAGCCTCTAAATAGCTAGTTATGAAACAGAAGACAGCAGCTCTGTTATCTTTATTCCTTCTGAGGACAGAAGAGGAGACAGTGAGTAAATTACAGCAGCAGCAAAGACTTATCTCAGACTTGGAAAACTACTTGATGGTCAGCGAGGCTTATTAAACACTAGGTTCAAGTTCAACATCTTTCCTCAGAAGGACCTTTAAGGATGAGTTGAGAAGCCTTCAGCTGTAGTGCTTCTTTGAGGGTGGTCAGTGGACCAGATGGACTATTAAGATTCAGTGCAGAAATGGTCAACTTCTGTGGAAGAGTGATTCTCAATGCAAATTTCACCTTCTCTTCAGAACACTTAAAAGACAATTGCAAAACTGGATATATTCAAATCTCTTCTACCAAGTTATGACTTCAGTAACAGGAGAGAATCAGGGCTCAGTTGAGACATGGGAAAAAAATCTTGAGTCCAAGTGCATGCATGCATATGTGTGTACTCAAAGCCAAAATTATATAAATATGTAGATTGCTCTTTTATGAATCCTCAATTCTTTATAATTGTGAGTTAACTGGAGTTCATTATGGAACATATGTTTCCTTTACAATTTTTCTAGCTATCAAAATTATAACAAAGATGAAAAGTGACTTTTATAAATCTTGGTCTGTCTTTTCTTTTTACATTAAATGTCAGCAAAATCAAAATATTGATTCAGTGGCATTAGAATGATTTCCATGGTAACCAGCTTCTATTTAAGTAGGGGCTTATGACTTCCTTGTGGCTAAAAGTAAAAAAGAACTGGACCTGTAGCAAAACAGCTTTTCAGAGTAGGAAAAAAATAGTTTAGTTATGAATACAACCAAAACACACATGCCAAGAAAATTATAATTTAGCTTTTAAAAATTGTAATTCTGTCATATTGAAAATATATATTTACTATTCTATTTTAGGATCTTTTATAATAACACCTTTAAAAACATGTACAGTAGAGAAGATAAATTGATCATAAATATGTGATAAATATTTTAATTGCCCTTTGTATTGCTTCAGTGTGATGCCTGCTTAGTTTGAGGAAAGATCAGATGAAATAATGGGAGTTAACTAGAAAGGAGGAGAGGCCTGAGAAGCTGTGTCTTGTGTAGGATACAGAAAAAGCAGGAACCGTGCAAATTCTCATTCTGCGTTCCCATTGCTCAGGTCAACACGTATCCCATTTATCAATAGCATCATCCCTAGAGATGCTCTGTGGTGCAGGCAAAAGAGGCTGTACTTAGAATCTACAGGCCAACATTGACTTTGGGCCAGTGACCTAATGAGACTGTTTCTTTACCTTTAAAATGATTATAAAGCACTGAAAACTGATCATACTGCCTCCCTCACAGGCTTATGACAAGCTAGTGGGCTAATGGCCACAATGGGGCATGATAAAAAGAAATTGCTGTACAAATGTAAGTTCATACAATTTTAAATGTGCACTTACTACCTATTAATAGGCTTGAATAACATGAAATTTTAGTTTAGTGTAGCATATATATTAAAAATAAATAGGAGATATAAGGCCTTTATTATGTTGAGGTTGGTTCCCTCGATGCCCACTTTCTGGAGAGTTTTTATCATAAATGGGTGTTGAATATTATCAAAAGCTTTTTCTGTATCTATTGAGATGATCATATGGTTTTGCTTCAATATGTTAATATGGTGTATCATGTTGATTGATTCGCGTATATTGAAGAATCCTCGCATCCCTGGGATAAATCCCGCTTGATCATGGTGTATGATCCACTTAATGTGTTGTTGGATTCGGTTTGATAGTATTTTGCTGAGGATTTTTGCGTCTATGTTCATCAGTGATATTGGCCTTTAATTTTCTTTTTTTGTGATATTTTTGTCTGGTTTTGGTATCAGGGTGATAGTGCCCTCATAGAATGAGCTTGGGAGTGTTCTTTCCTCTGCAATTTTTGGGAAGAGTTTCAGAAGGATAGGTGTTAACTCTTCTCTAAATGTTTGATAGAATTTGCCTGTGAAGCCATCTGGTTCTGGACTTCTGTTAGTTGGAAGTTTTTAAATCACTGTTTCAGTTTCAGTATTTGTGACTAATCTGTTTACATTTTCTATTTCTTCCTGGTTCAGTCTTGAAAGGTTATACCTTTCTAAGAATTTGTCCATTTCTTCTAGGTTGTCCATTTTTTTGACATATAGTTTACAAAACAGAAACACACTTACAGATATCGAAAACAAATGTATGGTTACCAAAGAGGCAACGAGGGAGGGAGGATAAATCAGGAGTTTGGAATTAACATACACACATTACTATATATAAGATAAATAACCAACAAGAACCTACTGTATAGCACAGGGAACTCTACTCAATACTCTGTAATAACCTACATGGGAAAAGAATCTGAAAAAGAATGAATATATGTATATGTATCACTGAATCACTTTACTGTACACCTGAAACTAACACAACATTGTAAATCAACTATACTCCAATAAAAATAAATAGGACAGGAAAATAAATATATTTAGTATAATGAGGAGAACATTTTTATTAAACTTCAAGTACTTCTAACACTTTAGACTCCTTTAAAAAATTTAAGTATTCTTTTTTTTAACTTTTTTAATATATTGGAGTATAGTTGATTAAGGGTATTCTTTTTTTGAAGTATAATTAAGGTATAACAT